CCATCCAATCCAGCAGGCGGGGCCCTATAGCCTCAACGACCCAAGGACAAATGCCTAACCTATCCGAAGTTGCATACATATCGAATAATGCATAAGGATAAAGCATGTTAAGGCATAAAAAAGTATGGGAAGGTATTTGTAATATATATAATGTAGAAAAACATACATAATGTGTATGTAAAATACTTACCGGTAAACGTTGGAAGCAAATGTATCATATCACATGCCTCTAAAAATAATTGTATACTGTTGAAACTCATTTTTACACTTGACACGACAAAAACTTTTGATACGACAAAGACTTTCACGACACGAAGACGGAAACACTGCAAAGACGGAATACCTGGCGATGACGGATAATGTCCTGTTGTAAGGAAGAATGATCAAGCTACGCGTTAGAACTACACAGGGCGTAGGAATACAATGCAGATCCACGGCGTAGGATCAATGGCGGACCGATAGTCGTTTGATTGACGACATGATTTTCTCGTGAGAGTTGTTAGCGAGGCATTGCGATCTCATTACGACACATTGAAATGATAGCGTGAACTCATTAAAGCTTACGTTATATTTGTACGAGCGTCTATATTTTCTAACACAATAGATACTAAACAACTTAAGCCGAGCGTAGAAAACTCAATGCGCCAAACGCGACAATGCCAACGAGCGGTTACTTCAAAAACACGCTTATTTCAATCAAACAAATAATTTATATTAATTTTACGCAAAGAAACGTTTTATTTCATGGAATAATATTTAGTGTAATCAAAGAAAATGTTATTTCATCGAAAAATATTGATCTAAATAAACGTGATTTTTCTGCCAATGATATGGTTTTAACGCATTTAAACTAAAATATTGGTATTAAACAAAATAATGTTTCATTAAAAATTAGATTGTTCCAATGAAATAAATTTAAGTCAAATAAATAGAAATCTCCATTGTAAAGAAATCGTTCTTTCTGTGTACCCACATGAGAACTGCCAAAGCATGTTTACATCCACCTGTAATATAAAACAAATTTTAAAGGAAGGCTGGCAATAATAACAGGTAATAATGCATCACCTTTCATTGCATATACTCATAGATACCTGTTGCCGCTGCACAATCATGACACTGAACGTCTATGATTTTCTCTGTTGCTTCATTAATGATTAATGTTGTTGAATATGATTTGCTTCGAACCTTATGTTCAGGGCATACTCGACATTTTACGATGCAGAGATCTCCTTCACGTTTTAGTTGAACATAACCTATAGCTATATCTCCGTAGTTTTCACGACAGTTCCTTTAAATACTCGTTTTAATCTCAATTTTATTTCTTAATGAGCAGCTACACAATAAAACTTAATTATTTTACTTACAATAAAGCTTTGGTAGAACGTATTTCTGGAGCATTGAAACGATCATCATCTCTAAGAAACGTTAACACTGTAAACATGTCGATTTGCGGCAAATTACTACTATTTGCTTTCACGAAGCCTTTTTCACACATCACCGTGTTGAAATTCGGCTAAATAGTTGAATATATTAATAATTTTGAGTCGTTTGAGAAAGCTGTATCTTTATAAACATATCGTATCCAGTCTTTGCAGGACGACCGTATGACATCGTGACGTAACGAGCCCATACGCCAATCGAGGGGCGTTTTACGATCACGTTACAAAATTTGAATTTTTATGATAGTAAAGTTATTAATAATAATTTACAGGTTTGCACAAAAACAATTTTGTTTTCATTTTTGTGTTTTGATGCCATTAATGCACGTTTACAATAAAAAGATAATACGGATAATTTTTTTTTCAACAACCCAATTGTCTAAAAGTAATTACGATTCTTGTTAATGAATGAAAGGTATGTCGGAACATGCAATAAAAACATGTAATAAAATACAAGCTATTTTAAATTTTAATGGGATAAAACAATATTCTTCAACCAATATTAAAGAACTCAAATCCTTAACTGCCGCGTTAAAATTATGTTGTAACATAATAATTGAATTAATTAAAAATTAAAATTATGTCAACACATAATAGAAATTATTTTTATGTCAGTTTAGACGCAATTTTAATTAACCAAATTATTATTATGTGCGAGACGTAATAAAAATTAAAAAATTATCATATTATGTCATGACATAATTTCAATTCATAGAATTTTTACTATGGCTTGACATAATTAAAATTCGTTGAATTATTATTATGTAACAAGTCGACAGCTAGAAATTTAAGCTCTTCAGTATTATTTCTAGAATATTGTTTTATGTTGTTACAAGATAAAATGACTTATGCGTGTCGTTATTAGCGGTCTTTGAGAAATTAAAATATCTTTATCCGGAATTAAAGTTGTTCGGCAACACAACAATAATTACAAACGTCTATTATGATATAATTTTAATTTGTATTATTATTAAGTATTTAATTTGTATAATTATTATATTATCGTAACATAATATTTATTCATTGACAAAGATCGTAATTTTTCGCTTTAATATGACATGCGAGGACATTGCGCGATAGCGGTGAAGTCAACAGCGTAGCGGTGTGGTGGAGCGCTCACGCATATTACTAGGCGTACGGCTCACGGACGTGCGTCCGTTTAAAGCACGGCGTCGATTGGATCATCTTTACTCGATAATAACTGCTTCAGTAAGCATTGTAGGAAAAAGTTTCCTAATACTTATCGACTCAATTTTTTATCAGAAATAGCGCTATGTGCTTAGTGGGCGGTTTTTAAGAAACACCCTGTATAATTGTATTTATTCTGGAAACTCCGTATTAGGAAAATATAATAATACAAAAAACAATGAAAGAACAAGGGCAGTAGGAGTCAAGCGCGGGAGACGTTGCGCAAATAACACGACTATCGTAGCGTGAAAATTCTTTATTTTACTAAAGCACTTACATGTTTCGGCTCATTTTTGAGCCTTCTTCAGAGATAACTAATACAATCACATACATAGAATATAACAATTATTAACTAGTCATGGTGATCTTCCTCACCTCGAGAGTATAAATACCAGAATTAAATCCAGATAAGAATGCAGTAAAAAAGAAAAAGGGGGGAAAGAAATTTTGAAATTCTCGAAATAAAGAAAATGTAAAACTAATGTATCAAAAAATTTTAAAATTATAATTAATTATTCCGATGGTTAGGAAGCTCACCTTGATCACAAGATACCGCATCGCAAACATTACTCTTAATACTTCAAAAACAGGTTTCTGATAAGTTAGCCAGTCAGTGTCAGACACAGTTAGTCTCTTATTGATTTAATTGGTCTTATTGAGACAGTAATTAAAAAACTAGCGTTAAAAAATTACTCACCAAATCAAGAAAAGGTATCCCCGAAAGTGATCTAAAGTCAATGCCCGACCGACTTCTTCCTGTGCACGAGCGACACTG